TCTTTATAGCGTGGTATCTCAACTTCGTTGCAATCATTGTGATTGTGTTATTTCTCTACGATAACAATTATTCTTATAAATATATCATAATATCTATATATACTTCTTGGTCTGGAGCTAGTTGTGATATCAGGATCTATAGGACTGTGGAGCCTAGCTAGGCTCAAATTTGTGAAGGTCTGTACATCTGTATGGGTCAAGATCAGTATGACATCAATACTTGGAGACAGATATCCACCTGCATTTTAAACATAGTAATAATTCCTTACTTTAAATAAATGCGTGTGTAGCTTAAAGCTGCCCTTGTGCTTCATTATGCACCACACCATGAAGACATATGGGGGAGAGGAGGTATAGTTCCACACATTCTTAGCCTCAGTACTAGATTGAGGGGAGAGGTGAGCTTTATGCCCTAGTCACTTTATCTCCTAGTGCTGATTCAATATGAGGCTGGGTGGGCATCAGAACTCCTCTGAATGTGTGGGAGAAAAAAACTATCTCTGTCTGTGGCAGAAATTGAAAACAGATCTACTGGTTGTCCAACCCATACCGTTTATACGCTGTACTTTTGGTGAAATAATGCGCTTCTCCACCAAACTTCATCATTTTGGTTGGTAACTGAGAATACCGAATGAGGTTCTTGAGTGGGACATTCAAAGAAAATGGGTTGCCTGATTGGATTTGTGATTTTATGTTAATTCCAAAATTATCTGTTTATTTAATGCCTTTGTTATGTCCAAATTCCTTCATAATCCTGACAAGTGCAACCTGCAGTTCTCTTCATGAATTTAATTTTTGAAAACTTTTCATGAATGGTACACAGTCCCACGATAAGAACAGCACTGTCATGAAATATCATAATTTCACTGCAGTATTTATGGAGAACCTAATCCTTGAAAGTTCAATGGTTACTATATGTTCCACCTGCTTTAACATTAAAAAAAAATCTTATAACTTAGCCCACACTGTGCATTTATGTAGTACATGTCACTCTCACAATAAACAAAAATTATTTCCCTAAACAGCATTAAGTTAACGGCCCTTGCTATGGATATATTCTGTGTTTCCTGTGAGGAAGGAACTGAATTTTATACATTATTTAGATTAACTTCAGGCTGCAAAGAGCTAAAAATAATGGTGTATGTACCCCAGAATAAGTACTGAGTCACACAGATACTGAAGTCATCCTGCAATCCTCATATACTCATAGGTACAGTCAAGGTATTTGTAAAGCTAATGAAAGACTGAGAGGTGAGGTTATGATCAATCTGTTGGAACGTTATACAGCACCAACTGAGAGTATGATAAAAAGTGTATAAATATTCTATCTACTGGCTGATATCTAGTTCTTCATCTACAAGAACAAGATCTAGATAGCATTAGTTCAGTATCTGCTAAGGTCAGGCAAGTTTCATCCATGTATTTGTCAAAGTTCCATATAAATTACTGAGTGATGGTAAATTCCTTAAGATAGAGATCTTCTAGTATGTGATTCCGTGTAGTCTGATAGAGGGTTACCAACATTTCAAAATAAGATGCTGTCACCATTTTCAGGGAATAATATTTTATTTTACTTTTCTACCTTGACAATGGTGATTATTTCCCTAAAATTGTTGTTATGGAGATATTGTATATGACTTGAAATTTCACAGGAACAGTATGTAATGAAATCTTCTTGGGTGATCAGCCAATGATGATAGAAACAGAGACAGTTTCTGAAACTCTGAACACCAGCTCCACTCAGACATAGTCCACTGCCTAAGACTGAATTGGAGACATATTGTGTTTACTGTGAGGTAGGAACTGAATTCTTATACATCACTTAAATGAACTTCAGGCTTCAAAAGGTTAAGGAGGACTATGTCTATTCAATAAACATGTGTAAAATACTCATTTATCTCCTACTGCCTTATCTAAAACAAAATAACAACTTTACAAAGACTCCATATTTACTGAAACATTGAATCCTCCATGGCAAGTGATGCGACACCATGCAAGCTAACAGCCCCAGTAAGCGAAAGTTCAGATCACATCTAGAGAAGAAACCAAAGTTAAGAAACAGAAATGTGACGCATTTAATATCGTCACAGGAAGTAAATGATTGTCTAATACGCTCAGTTCTTAAAACACAAACAAACAAACACATTTAATCATACAAACAAACAGGGTTGCCACCAGCTGTACCACAATGTTGATTTATTTACAATAAAATTTACTTATGTCTTGTAAGTAGTGTATTTGGGGCAATTATACTATACATCCTATCAAACCTAAGTAATGCAGTGTGTCATTAACTCAATACAGCAATTGATGCAGTGACATGCAAACACGTGACAAGGATTGGTGCTTCATAACTCTATAAGCCTTGGTCTTTTGTGCATCACTATTCTCCTTTTGCCAGTACAATGTCGTCACCCTTCAATTGGTAACTCTTATTTTACACACATTTAATGCTCAGAACATACAGTGATTATTTCCCTGAACATTATTAACTGGTAAAGGAGATGTAGTGTTTACTGTGAGGTAGGAATTTAATTTTAAACACTGTTTACATAAATTTCAGGCTTCAAAGGATTAGACCCATATCTGACACAACTACTATGACAGCAGTTCAACTGTCAAGTCTTAAGCATGAATTAAAATATAGTTTTGGCACAAAACAAATATTTACTGACAAATACTTATTTTTCTGATTATAATTAACTTAACTGCTTTGCCTGTTCTTGGATATTAATAACCAGTACCTGAGAAAGTAATGCATCTTGTGAAAGTCGAAAAGAATTTGTTTCACAGCCATAACAATGAACGCTTCACAGTAAGATAATGATGAATGGAGTTTAAGAAACATACTCATTCAAACATACATTTGATCAACAATATTTTAAGAATACTGGAAGCACTTTGTGTTCGAGCCATTCCTTTTTAAAATATAACTGAGACCTAACAGTAAAGCCAGTTGCACACGAAAGTAACAAAACATGGGCTATACAGTGTTTACTTTTAAGATTCATATCAATTTATGATCATGAGATAATTGAGAACTGATGTAATTCTGTGCTATTTGAATGATATTCACACAGTGGCAACCCCAAACAAATGATGTGTCACATAAAATCTGTGATGTAATGCATATTCATATGAAACTCTGGCAAACATGTCTAACAAACCTGTGCTCAACAACTTAAAAATAAAGTCACTCACCAATACACAACAGCAATATCCAGCTCTCTTCAGCACAGATTCATATATCTGGCTAGTGAGAACATCTTCATAACAAGACGCTATGGTTTTTGTAGTTTAAAATTTGATTAGAAACCACACAGAGAACTGTACATCAGAAATGTAGAAATCACGGTGCCATATTAAATTTAATTTCTGAACAAGACAGTTGGGAAAAGTCACTTACTTCTAGATGCTCTAAATTATGAAAATTAACTGGGTCAAAACCAAGACAGGAAGTTGAGATACCAAATACAGTGGAACCTCGCTTAACGAGCATAATTTGTTCCAGAATCTTACTCGTAATGCGAAACACTCGTTAAGCAAAACAATTTTTCCCATTGTAAATTAATGTAAAATATGATAATGCGTTCCATGCCGAAAAAATTTTATGTACATTTATTCAAAGAAAATTATATATACATTGTTAAAGAGCGTGAATCATCTTCATCTTTTCTTCTCTGCGGAATGAACCAACCTGGAATGCGAATTCGATTTGCAGAAAAAAAAAATCAAAATAATTAGTTTATTATTTATGATAAATATCTAATTCTTCTTTACTAGAAAGCTGTCTAGAGACATTTGTTTTTGCCGACGCTTCAAAATTTAGTGAAAATGCGACATAGCATTATGATTAAATACATTTGTAGTGCGCATAGCCACTGCCTTATTAGGGTGATGCTTCTCAATGTACGATGCAACAGTTTCCCATGCTTTCAGCATTTCTCTTATTGCACCCGAAGATTGTTGCTTTACTGTTATCTCCTCCTCCTCCTCTGACAAACTCTCCTCCACAACTTCTTGCTGTGAAACACAATGAAACTCCAAATCGTGCAAATCATTGATGTAGACTGATTGTATGTGCATGCTAGAACAGCCATTCACACCTCATTCTCGCTTTTCAATGATTTTACGTTTCATTTCTACGGTTATTTTTATTCTCTTATGGCTGTCTTTTTGCGGCTTTTTCTTCGGGAACATTTTTGCAAGGGTTATTAAACTTTGCACAAAAAAATCACATATAATATGTCTGAACACAAGTTTGGAAAAATGTGTGATCACAAGCGACACTAAGATCCTAGCGGAATGAGTGCTAAACACAGACTGATGTAGCAAGCGCACAATCCCGGACTTCCCCTCTCGTCACTCTTTATGCGAAACGTCGCTCATAAAGTGAGACTTTTTTTACAATTTGTTTTGCTTGTTATGCGAATTACTCGTTATGAGAGGTGCTTGTTAAGCGAGGTGCCACTGTATATCGATGTTCAGGACTTTACATATCTCATAACTATTAGAGCACAGTGATTTGTGTATGTACCATCTGCCTTAAAAACTGTGCATTCTTCTCACATGGTGTATTTATGTGTTTCATATGAGCCTCACAGAAATAGCGATTATTTCCTTGAACAGCAGTAATGAATTGGTCTTTGTAATGGAGATGGAGTATTTCCCATGAGGAAGCAACTGAATTTTTAAACTTTATGCAGTAACTGCATTCTCTCCAACTTTGAATTACTTAATGCGTGTAACTAATTTGCTGTCTGTAGTAATATTTATAACAAGTAAACAGAAACTAAATTCAATAAGGCAGCCATGATGAAAGTCATATAAAAATTGAATACACTCTCATAATATCTATACAGAATATACATACTATATTACAGTTACCTAGTACTGAGTAGTTGGATTACTAATATAATAACAAGAAGATGAGATTCGAAGAAAGACTCTAAAATATATCTCCCCAACAGCATATATTCTGATTCACTGATAAAACTCCATTTCTTGAAAATAATTATCCTCCATTCTGCTAATCAGACTACAGTTGTTTCTTATTCTATAAAATCCCATGCAATCCCATCTTTTTCAAAATCACATTCAATGGGAAATTACAAAAAAAATCCATTATAACACTATTTATACTTTCACTATATATATATAGTAATTGCTGAAACAATGTCTAGTTGTTTGTTTCAGATATTTCACGAACCTTTCTTGTGTTGGTACTTAAAATGTCCTAAAATTTCTCTTCATCACATCTACATCCAAGTTACATTAAAGTGCAGTTTAAGGTATTTATCAAGTTGCTTAAATTCACTCACATGAAAATCACAACCTTAGGACAAAGCTGTACAAATTATGGCAAAGAACTTCTGTCATAGGCTTTTAATCATATGTGTAACTTTGTGAATTAAATGTAAAGTAAGGTGGGGGAGAACCTACCCCACTTCATGTCATACCTCATTATGGAATCAAGAATGAAGAACTGCTAAAACACATAATACTGTGGAACTTTTAGAGAACCACACAATAAGGTATGTCACAAAATTGGAGAGCCTTCTCCCACAGTTTTATTAAATGGGAGATTATATTGACTGTGAACATAATACTAACAGGATGCATAATACATGTTTTTGTACCTAACATGATGTAACTTCAGCATGAACGGTGATTAGAAAGGTTGTTACAATATGATGTTACCCAGAAACATGTTGTGAAGAGTACTGTAGGAATTTGAAGGTACAGAGTGGAATACAAACTGAACACATGGTGTGCCAAATGCAGTACTATGCCTGATAACTGGTGATACAGACAAACAGTTGTCCCAGTGTGACCAGATGCCAAATTTTGCAAAACATTCCACATCTTGCATGTAAATATATGAAAGGGAAACACTTAACACTTTATATGGGTATTTTGGAAATTAATGTATGCTTAGTTCATTAAAGATCACTGAGGTGTCAAAGGTCCTGCTGTAGTTCAATTGTCTTTCGCAAAGAAATCTGAGTACAAAACAATACTTCTGTTGTTAAATAAAATTAAGATTAAATATTTATTACAAACATTTAAAAACCAGAAATATGGCTTCATTCATCCCTTACTGAATAAAATCAAAATCCCTTGTATTATAATTAATCGATAATGTGTTTTTGCCTTTAAAATTTAAGGAAATGAAACTCAAGTCTCATGTTTCACTGTCAGAGAGATCGCACAGAAACGTCATACATCACTCTTCACACGGATATGCTTACTGTGTAGGGAGTGATTTTTCTGTTCTTTACTTAAACAGTTACTTAAACAGTTTTGAACTGAAGAGTGTGTTAATGTTATAATGGAATAATAATTTGACTGCCTATGTGCCAACTGTTTGGTCATGATTTTCATTATTACACGGGTCTGATCACCAGAACGTTTTCCTAAAGCTTCTTTTCGTTATGTCCTTCAGACCGACTTGCATTAACTATTTAAAGCATAGTGGATACCTGTTTACACCACCTGCTTCAACATTCAGAAACTCTGCATTGTACCCACAAAGTACATTTCACATTATTCTCAGAACATCAATATTTCCCTGATCAGTATTAAGTCGTTAGTGTGTTTTCTATGAGGTAGGAAATTAACATTAAAATATTATTTACTTGGACTTGGGGCTCTAAAGGGTTAAACAGGTTTTGCAGTGTTTACCGGATATTTTTTGCTGATTACAATAATGCTCCATGTGGCCCATAGATGGCTCTGACGTATCGTTGTTTTTTAACTCATACTAACATACGTACATCATAATTTGACGTTTATATAAGATAACTGCCGTCAACGCAAAAATATCTAGAGAGCATATTTGGCCCTCCCCTCCACCAAGCAGCCCAAACATGAGTCACGAGTTACCTCCAGCACGTTCAAGTCGCTGTCTCCCGAAACTATCGATTCACCACAGTCGATGAACACAGCACACGTTTTCACAATTAGTTCGCGCACACCGCCCTCAGGTGGCACCTGTATCTGGATCACAACACTGTATCCAGCGTCTCCAGGGACTGGAGAATCTGTTCGTCTCTGGAACACCATTCCACTAGCTCGTCAATTGTCACCACTCCGTCCTTGTTCGTATCGATTTGCTGTAATCACAAGAAAACACATTTTCAGGCTAACACAATATTATTACTGCATTTTTTTTTATAACTGAGTACACGGCTTTTTCGTGCGTTCGCAGCGAAGGTCTGAAAGGAAAATGTCTGTTACTATCGCCATATCTCTCCGTCCTTCTCTCTCTACTCATGTGAACTGATAAACGGATCTCCGTCGAATATGATATTACTAAAATTTTACGACAAATTCTAATTCACGTTAAAACTGGACAAATAATGGATGCCCTTTTCTGTGCATAGGTTCAGCCTAACTATAACGTAACTCGCTACATATTTCTCTGAACAAATGAAAGAATGTTTGGAATAAACATTTTAGAGAGAATTGAAATGTCTGTAAGTCTTACGGAAAGCCTGTAAGAAGAAATGAAAAAGAAGGCACTGAATGCATAACAACTTGTACCTCATGTGCACATATGTGAGGTACTTCTCTTATATTACTGAAAGCAATCGTTATTCGCCAGGGTTATTCTCAAAATTAAATGTAATAAAACACTGAATTTGCGTCTTTATTGCGACAATGTTATTGAACGTTATGAAGAATTTACATGTAACTGCAGTAAAACTTGGTTATAGCAACATCGGTTTCTGCGACACCTTGTCTATTGCGTCAAATATTCAATGGTACGAACTAATTCCTCATAAAGCAACTGTTTTTATATCTTGCTTAGTACGACATGCACAAATGCATCAACCTCGTATGTAACGTCATTTTCATTCCTGAATTTCTCTGATATCGTGGGAAAGTTCGATGTGTCTGCCCGCCCTCACTTTCTCTACTTGCTGACGTGACTGTCCTGGAAGAATACGACCGCGGGCTGGCTGCAAGAGGAGCGTAGGTTTTATGCGAAAACAAGGGTGTGGGGTGGGACTGCGTGAATAGTGCAAGAGGACGCGGCAGGTTGTTAACTGCATTCCTTTCCTAGAATCTCGTCTAACAGGACCTCACATTGTCTACTTACCCTACAGTGTTCCTGCCTAAACCCAGAGAAGTGCAGTAGCGAAAACATGGCAATGAAAAGGAAAGTTTTAAGCATTGAAGAGAAAGTTAAAGTGATTTGTGAAATAGAAAATGGAAAGAAAAAAGCTGATGAATGCCGCGAATTTGGTTTGGTGAATTCTACAGTACAAATGATATGGAGATTCCATATTAATTCCACGTTAATGTTACGTTATTCTGTACTTAACTACGTATTTCACTAAAAAAATGCAACATTTTAACTCGGTTTTTAGTAGATTTTTACGTGGCTAACATAAGGCTACTGTGGAAGTGCCCATTTCGGTTACATCGACATTCGTTTATAACGACACTATTTTTAGGTCCCTTTGATGACGTTATAACCAAGTTCTACTGTAACTGAAAAAAATCTCTTGACAAAGAAAGGTATAAATAATTATAATAACTACAAGTATCTTTAGCCTACTTTCTTACAATAGGTTTATGCGATTTCCATACTGTCTCTGTGTTTGTGAATCCCCCCCCCCAATTAAGTTTTGGATGCCTGCACCAATCTTTATGAAACTTGGTATGTACTGTATATCATGGCATCTGAGCCCATCATAGCGGCGTACTTCATAAACCCCTCCCATCAGTCTGTGTGTCTGTGTATCCATCCAATCGTTGCTAGACAAAGGCTCAGTAAAATGTACACGATCTCTCCTTTCGAGCCAATGGGTCGGTAAACACGTTCACACGGCAACAAGCAACAATAAGAGAATTGTTGGACGGGTGTGTTTGTGGGTTTGTCTGTGCATCTTCTATCGTTGCTTAACTCGGTAAAGACGTTTCCGCGGCAACGAAGAATTGCTGACGTCGTTTTCTATGCGGTCCGTGTCGTACGCAAGGAAATTAGGCGATCAGTTCTTCTCAGAACTTCTTATCACAACAACTTGTAATCAATCCACCGAGCAGAAAAATGAGGCCCTGCTGAGTTCTTAAAATTTGAATTTTTCTACTATTTGAAAAGACAGGTTTTCACCAAGAAAATTATTATTTGAAAGTTTGATTAGGGTTAAAAATATTCCACCGACTCGTGACACGAACTGAAGTATTCAGAAAATAATAAGTCGTTTTTTTGTTAGTCACTGCATTAAAGTCCTGTTGAATTTCTCAGAAAAATCCGTATAATAATGGAGAAAAGGCAATAACCCAGACCCACCCCCCCAAAAAAAACACGATATGATAACACTACGTTGAGACATACCCTCCATTACAGGCGTATATTACTCTCTCTTAATAATCTGAGTATATGTCGTAGAAAGAACAAAAGGCGAGGTAATATGCTACGTCACTATTTGACGACGACATATCAATCTAGTCAGATTGAAATATTTATTGCTGCAGAAGACAACTGCCGAAGTTGTCAGTCACTTGTATAATTCATTACATTCTGAATGTATTTTTTTTCATCACTCTAATGGCTTTGTAATCCATCTATCCATCTTCTGGTGACATCCAAATGATCACGGGGCAGAAACACAGAGGATACAACAATATTTCTGCATTATGGTGGCGCTAATACAGACGCATGCTTTCCGACGCTGTCGTTTCTAACGGTAATTGAAATGGCGTCCATACACTGACGTGTCACTGAGTGTAAGAGTTAACTAACTCCATGGAGTAGAGTATTCTACTTCTTGGGTACATGAAAGTCGCTCGGCTGCTGAGAAAATTCTCACCATGTTGTGGAATCTGAAGGTTCACTACCAGGTTCCTAAGAGAGGGAAATTGGTCCCCTGTACTCAGTTAAGAGACCCCAGTCCTCGTCTTCCCATCTTGTTCTTTAGGATCAATTTTAATATTATTGCCTCATGGAAGGCTAGGTTTTTCTATGACCTCCTTCCTTCAGGTTTCCCTATGAAAACTATGCATGTAATACTTCTCTTCGCAGCCATGGGTGCTATATACTCTCATCTGAGCGTTTTAATATTTTAGGGCAAGGAACACGAACACAGCTTTCTCCATTCTCCTGCAACCTTCTCTCTCTTGCGTTCAGATATTGTCCTCAGGGCCCCGTTCTCTGTATACATTATACTATAATATTACATTACGCTGTGTTCCTACTGGAGTATGAACTTCCCATACTTTCTCCCGCATTCATTTCCAGTTCTACGTGCTATCGAACGATACGTCGAGGCTGAAGCTAAGAGCCATTTCCCACGACTAACACTTAAAAATACACAACCGTAGAACCTCTCCTTTATGCAGTATACTACAATTTGTGTATGCACAGAAGAGACACGATACGCCGAAACAAAAGACTGCTCGCTCATTCGTGATGTATACCTTCACGCAATGTATTAAGGCTCCACAGGGTGCGGTGGAAAACTACGATACATCTGAGATAGCATAGCAGGTCTCGAGGCCGAGACGTGAACCCATGACTCCCCGATGATGATGCAGAAGTGCTAGTCCTTCCACAGTGACGCTGGGAACACTACGGGTAGACAGATGGACTTCGTGCACTACATGACCAACCCAAAAATCCAAGTGAGAGGGGAAGTGTAACGTAGCCTATATCTGCCCTCTACCGTGTGGACTGACTTCATGCAACCCTAATCAGAGCACTGCAATCGGGCAACTTAATTATTTTAGACTTTGCTAACTTCAGTCGAGCCAGACGCAGAGTCGTCACGGCGCTGGAATGACGTCTACGCTCAAATTATCCAGAAGCAGCAGCGAAGATCGAGCGTCGACTAATTAATTCATTGGTTAATTGCCTCACAGTCTGTTCGATGCGAGGACGTAGAAGGGAAGGGTTAGTCTGGTGGTGAGATAAAAACGTACCCGCACAGAATTCTAGCGAAACAAAAGAATGGAAACGGGTCACCGCCGCTGCCCTGGCAACATGGCGCCGTACTAAGTGACAAGTGTAAGTAGCAGATCAGAAAACTTAAGGGCATTCTGAAAGCTTCATAAAACATACCTGTTATATTAACATTTCCAAGCTTTTAAATTCACGTAATAGTTAAAAATTGAGTTCGTACCTCACAGGGAACACATTATACTCCGCTACAAAGCCCAGCCGGTTAATGCTGTTTAGAGAAATAATCACTGTTTATTGCGGGCATCACACGGAACACACAAACACAATGTGTGGGCAGAATGCCGTATATATAAATTCAGTTCGTACCTCGCAGGAAACACATTACGTCTCCGGTACAAAGGCTTCGTAAAACATACCTGTTATATTAACATTTCCAAGCTTTTAAATTCACGTAATAGTTAAAAATTGAGTTCGTACCTCACAGGGAACACATTATACTCCGCTACAAAGCCCAGCCGGTTAATGCTGTTTAGGTAAATAAACGTTGTTTATTGTCAGTCATACGGAACACACAAATACACTGTGAGCAGAATGCCGTATATATAAATTCAGTTCGTGCCTCACAGGAAACATATTAGTCTCCGCTACAAAGCCCAGCTGGTTAATGCTGTTTAGGGAAATAATCGCTGTTTATTGTGAGAGCCATATGGAACACACAAATACACTGTGTGGGCAGAATGAATAGTTTCTGAATGTTACAACGGGAGGTATATACTAATACGAAAAATCACGGAATCATCCCAACACTTGACGGTATGTGAACTCAGCATTTAATAACGTCGTTAGATTAACAGTAAACAAATGACAATATGTAATATTGTGGCATGTAGACCCGTTGCTGAGCAATGACCGCGAGACAGACGACGGTAGAGCAGCCGCTGCTAGGCAGTGGCAAAAAAAAAAAAAGAAAACAGGGTGGGACAGTCGCCAATTAGTAAGAAAGTGATCATGGAGGCAGAGGACATTGTTGGGATCGTCACTATGTAACGACTGGCGATGACACAGCAAACTGAGAAGACTTATTACGTGCTGTAGTGAGCTACGGTGTGTGTGAATTAGCATTAGCGCTATAGTTACTAGTAGTTAAGATCTGTAGGTGTTCAATAAATCTATTTACCAATTCAGACACCGTCTGTAGTCACTCAT